CTGACCAGCCTTGATTCAAACAAATGGCACAGTCTAGTGAAAAATCATTTTGAAAAAGGTTTCCCACCAGCTCGATTAGGAGATCAGAAAGGGGCTACGGGTAAACAGCATGCGTTGCTGCAGGTCAATGTTCAGCTGAGAGAACCTGGTGACCCCAGGAAAAGATTTGCAGGGCTGAGGAGGACAGAAACCCTGGCAGAGTTGTCCACTGCTCCAGGGCGCCCCAGGGCAAGACGGAGTGGTTTCCCAGGCAGGGGCACTGGCCAGTGCATTTGTAAAGCTGGGGATAGGAAGCCCATCGCTGGCACAGCTGAGGAGAGTGCAGAATAGCTTGGGAGAACTGTGTGCAGCATTTCCCCCCTCATTTCCTAGGTGTAAGCCAGCTGTGAGCCCTTCATTTCCCTCTACCCTGAAACCCATTCAGAACATGCAAGCAGCACAAAAAAGACAGAGACTGCAGTCTTTTGGGCCCAGGTGTAGTGGTGTTAGGGCACCAGCTCCTCACTCCAAGCTGCACTGGAAAAGATGGCCTGCAATGGCACTATCCTGGGTCGTGTAAGTAAGAAAGAGAGGTTCAATTCCCTGCTGCAACACAGGCTTGCTGTGTGACCTAGGGATTCACAGTCACCCTCCCTAAGGTAAATCCTTGCCCACTGGAAGTGGTCTCTCTTCTCACCCCATTGTATGGCACTGACTATCGCCACCTTCTGAAGGCGAACGGGTTTGCTCAGTCATTTTCCCTTTGGAGGCCGGCAAGGGCATGGCACAGCAGAGTTTTGGGTTTTTGTCCTTCAGAATTGCCTGCTTAAGTTGAGGCTTCAGATTGAAGGACCTGAGAACGGAGGTCAATAACCCTGGGCCAGAGCTTTGGATGCTGTAAAGACTTACAATCCAGTCCAGCATCTATAGGGAGGCAGATGCAATGTAGGCAAATATCCCCTGTTTGATATTGCTGCCTCCCAGACTCTGCAGGACAATGAACCGGGCTGGCTCCAGAGCTCCCTTCTGCCCCAGGCATCCTCCCATGCCTGCTCCTAATCGCTGCATACACCCCAAGGTCTGGGGCTTGTGCTTGGGGTTGATCAGTCCCTTTTCTTGCAAATGCTGCCGTTTCCTTCTCAGAGGAAGAGCTGCGTGGGCAGTGTGACAGCCTTAGAAGTGAGGTGACTCGGTGTCTTTGATTGCTGCTTCTCCTTCTGCTGTTCAAAGGCCCAGCTTTCATTTCAACTTTCAAACTCCTCTTAAGGGTCCTCCTCATCTTGGCATGAAAACACCCCCGGGGAAAGATGCCACAGCTTCCCACAGGGCAGTACCTCCCTCCTATTTAGACTTTGGCAGAGCTGTAAAAGGCATCTCCAAGACTTTGAGTTGGTCGCTTTTATATTAGAGTCACATCCCTTCCCAGCACTAAGGCTTGTAGAGAGCCAGGGAGACTTACAATACAGTCCTGCATCTAACAGCACCCCAGAAAAGCTTGGCACATCTCCGAGCATCCTCCAATAATCCCAGACTACAAAGTGCTGGTGGCTGGCAGAAAGGAAACAGCTGGGAACATCTGTCTTAAAGGAATACAACCTTTCAATGTCTGATCAGTTCTGGAAGGCCAGCGACAGACTGGAGAAGAAGTGGCCCAAGTCAAAGGCAATTTCAATTTGACGCCCATGTCCATCGCATACATATATAATTCATGTACCATGTCCCCAGAGGAGCCAGCATCCAGCCACATACCATACACACATAACACCCTAAACACCACAATCCTATATATTTATAGAGATGCACTTAGAAAAAATACACACACTCAACTCACCCAGCACAGACACAACACTCACACCAATGACTCTCAACCAGGTGCTGTTGCACCCCGGGGAGCCTCGTGATCCTTTCAAGGGGAGGGATGCCACACAATGTTAGCGCTGTTGGGTGTGCAAACATGATTCACAAGATAAACCCAAAAATTTCAAATAGGCATCCACAGGGTTAAAACCATTCTGACCGGTCGTGGTCTTTCTGAGTTCCTTGAAACAAAAGAATTGCTCTGTTATTTTTCTATAGTCAAAAAACAAGTGAAAGCTAAAAGCTGGCATTTTCCTAAGGGTGCCTACATAGTGGGGCCTCAAGCCTGAAAAGATTGAAAACCACAAATTTAAACAAATCTGTACAGCAGCCCAGTGCAATGAAAGACATGTGTGCATACCTCTGCATGCACGCACATATACCCTCTGCCCTCCCCTCCCCACGTATGCCAGTTCACAAATAAACACATACCCCAGCCCCATGCTCCCATGGATAAAAATGTGCGCACACAGTTTCTGTATATCAATGATTCCTTTCTTTAAGCAAAGAAGTACCAATTGCCTGCCCACTCCCCAAACAATCTTTAGCCAATGGAGTTTAAAGGCATTTTGCTAGTATGTTTGTCCATATTTATACCTTACAACTGTTGGCAAGAATGACACTTTACTCACCCTAAAAAAAAAAAAGACTAAGCACATCCAAATTCACCCTTGCGTTGCCCTGCGGACTGCGGTGGAAATCTCCAGGAATGACCTATCCTCATCTGTCCTTGCTGCACTGTTAACCAAACAGCCTCTTCAACAGCCACGTGCACACCCACACGTGCACACACACACACACACGCATGAAGGGGTAATAGGCTCCCTCTCAGCACACGCAGTATCTAGGCTGCAAGGTGACTAACTCGGTAATAACGGACTCTGTTCCACATCATGATTATGCAAAATTCCTTCCACCTGATGCAGCAGATAAATTGCATTATATGTTACAACCGTTCACATCTGAAAATTAGCAAGTACTCCTTTGGTCTGAACCTCTTCTGCCCATCACAGAACATAATGCTCAGATATAGGCATTCAGATACTTTGATGAAGACAGTCATATAATTATCTAGACAGACAGATGGATGAATGGGAAGAAGGAACATAATCAAAGGTAGGGGGACCCGCTGGTTGAGCTGTCTCTCATAAGCCAGGAAACAATCCAAATTAGAAAGGCATATTGAGAAAGAGAAGATGCTGAACAATTCAGCTTGCCACACATCTCTGACCTTCTCCTAAACCGCAACAGCATTAATCGTTCAAAGCATTTCTCCTACAAAATCAGACACATCATTCAATCCCCAATTAAGTCAATTAGGTGGCAAAGGATTTAGTTATTTGGTTCTCATTTATTGTGATGCTTTAGGGACAGCGACACCAGCTCTGCTACAGAAGCAGGGTGGGGAGAGTGACTAGATGGCCTACAAACATCTCCTCTGCCCTAAAGGTTTCTGGAGTACACGAGATGTACATCACACTGATCTCCATCAGCTGAGAACTGGCCCAGAGGATGCTATTCTGACATGCTGTTGGCCACCTAGCTCCCAACAGGCCCTATCACTATTCTAGGTCATAGTTTCTCAACCTGTGGTACGTGTACCCCTTGGGGTATGTGAGACACAGGCAGGGGGTTGGTGGGTACCCCACCACTCTCTCTCTCTTTTGCCCTCTTTTCCTCTCTGTCACCCCTTCCTCCTCTCAAAACTACGGCAAAAAATGTGGTACGCCGCGCACTACATGGTGCTTTAAATTCCCCGGTAATAATTTGGTATACAGCCCTCCTACCTTTGGCCAACATCTAGCCCAGGTACATACTCGAGCTGGTGTAAAAGGTGGCAACCCTACCCACACCAGATCAGACATCTGTCATATCATGGCGTTATATACACAGCCCTTCTTCCAACATATGGCACACATTAGTCTGTAAATATAAAATCCCCTGGAAAATTGAGTGTTGGGGTACTTATTAAAATTTGCACAAGTTAGGGGGTACTTGCTACTTAAAAAGTTGAGAAACACTGCTCTAGGTTGTTATCAGGCTTTGTCCCTTCTAACAGCCTTCTTCTCAAGACAGTCTGGCCTGCCTGCTCTTGCATTTTGCTGCTCTAATAACCAAAGCATGCTCCTTTACACCCAGGAGCCTGGGATTGCACTGGCCTGCCACAACTCTCTCAGAAGAGATCTCCCAACCCTCTTGAATTGGCCGTAATTCTTTTTTGCCCCACTATTGCGTGACCTGCAGACATACCCAAGCTACGAGGCAGCAGGTTACAGAGAAGAGGTTCACAAAGCCCCTGGGAGAAGTTCTCTCAGCTGCTCTTATTTCTATTCTTCCCCCTTCCCCTTTATTAACTCTCACGGCCTCGCCTGGATTCCTCCAGCTTGTCGCTTAAACTAAACCTTCTCGAGTGGAACAGTGTCTCCCATTAAAATAAGTAAAGTGTCAGAGATAATTAGAAGCCGAGGGCAGACATCCCAAGAAGGGTTATGTTCAATGTGTATTGGGGGGATGAGGGTAACTGAAATCAGAGCCAGATTATGCATCTAACCAGCCGTTAACCTGGGACGGGCTCCCACAGAAATGCAACACGTTTTAGGGCAGCTTGTCACCTCTCAGCTGCTGGAAGCAAGTTGTGCTGTCGTCCGGCTCCAGCGGGTGCCGCAGGACTCCATTGCTTGGCTTAGGCCTCTCGTATTCTTGTTCGGGAAGCATGGCTTGCTCGCTTTCTACCGTATGCTCTGGCCGGGGGGACAGGGACTGCGGGAATCCAAACATGAAGAGGGACGAGAAGAAAAGTAAGGCACCACAGAGCAGGAAGCCTCCCCACCATGCGCCGATCCACCGAGGGTCGTCGGGAGTGATGTCCAGCTTACCTGCAATGGCAAAACCACCCGTCAATGATGCTGCAGGAGGGAGAGCAACACAAAAGGTTTAGGACCCAGAAGTCAGCTTTGAGGGATTCTTCTGGGCAGCCACTGGAGGTATTAAAACACTGACAGACAATGTGAGAAGCTCCTATGGACAAGACATCTCTTGCCTAATCTATTTGTGTAGTGCCTTGTCCAAGGGAGGCCTGATCGTCCTTGGGGCCTGTGATAACCTGGGGTGCAGTTTATGGATTCTGGTGAGGAGATGAACTCTGTTTATGCCTGTCAGGCGGCAAACCCCATTTTGATGGTAAGGCTTGCCTTTGCCTTCATCTTGGACTACAGTGCTCTCAAGAGCTGGCCCAGGCTTCACCATGACAAGCTGTTAATTCCAGCCCATGGAAACACAAGCTAGCTGCTATCCAGGAGTACTGGGATGTTGCGGGGAAGGTCACCTTGGCAGTGGGCACCTGATGGAGTTTGGCTGGGGACATGCATGTAACTGGAAAGTGATAACAGGGCAGGAGCTGAGCCATATACCCTCTCTTGGCTTATGCACCAGAAAACTCAGGGGCAGCTGCTGGCACTAAGGCTCCCCTGACCCTATTTTCTTAAACAGAGGACTGCCAGGGACTGCCAAGGGAAAGGTGAGCTAGAATCAAGACCTATGCATTCAGGATGCTGGTTGGGTTTCCCCTAATGATATCTGCAGTCTTGTGCGTTATCCTCTAAGTAAAAGCTATGGCATGCTTAGAGACAGTGTACAAAGCCTATCTGTGTCAGTACATATGCTTGATCCCATCTCTCACATCCCTCATGAAGAGCTGTGCTGCAAAGCAGCAGGCTCCCACTCATGGTTAGGTACCAGGAAAGAGTTACAGTGGGACTGAGGAGTCAGGTCTGGTCCCTTGAGGACTGATGGTCGGCCTGAGAGGAGTAAGAGAAGGGGGCTGCACTCCAGGAATGTGTCCACAGACCCCAAACTGAAGAGCAGCGCTCTAGACGGCCTTGACTCCACGTTTGGGATAATGTGTCTGGGTCCCTTGACAGCAAGCTGTTCAGTGGCCAACAGAGGGTACTCAACCAGGTGCTTGGTGTGGGGGGAGGGTCCTATAATATAGATGTTAAATGCATTATCACTGCATATTAAGCAGGTGGAGAGCTAGACTGCGACCACATGTTTGAGTGGTGAATGCACTGGCAACTCCGAAGGGCCCCTGGCTCTTCCATGTAATACAACCTTGCAGACTGGCAGTGGCTTATCCCTTATGGACAATCAGATCTGAAGAGCCATCTGTCACCCGGTGCTGCCCCCAAGATTACGGATGGCTCCCCCATTACACGACACGGCTTCCTCCCCATTATTCATTGTTTGAACAGTGGTATTGCCCAAAGGCTCCACGCAGCAGGGCATTGATCACGGCAGGAAAGACATGTATTAAGAGTTTACTTGCAGCGTGGGTTTCTCTTTCAGATGTTTTCCCTACCCTCAAAGCAGGTGAGAAGTGACTTCATGTCTGTGCTAGGCACAAGGACGTCCCGATTCCCATGCAGGGCAGGCATAAAAGGAAGCACTGAGAAACCTGAACGAAGAAACCAAGTGCTTCTTCCAGAAGATTATTTGGGTCCTTCTTGAGTTTGAAGAGCTGAAGAGGCCTGTTACTGACACTAGGCAAAGCAGAACCTCCTACGTGGCACACTTTGACATCTACCTGTTACGCTTGTGGGTCTCCACCTCACAGCAACGATGAGCAACTGGCTCAGCAACTCATGTTACTTCCTAGAGTTTTTGCTCAGATATCACTGTGGGGCACGAACAGTGAAAGCAGTCAGGAGACCAGGAGGGGTGTCACTGGATAGAGCACTGGCTTGGGAATCAGCAGATCTGCTCTCTGCCGCTGAGCTACTATGTGACCTTGGGTGTGTCACTCTGCAGCTCAGCAACTGCTCTCCTGCCCTTTGTCTGTTAGGTCTAGTGACGGTCTCACTCAGTGTGCGGATGGTATCTGGCACAACAGGGTCCTGAACTCAGTACAAATGACAACACTAGATGAACAAGACGTGGCCTTGTTCTCTCACCTGCCGCTGCCCAGAGTCAGCACTGCTGCCTGTTGCTGAGGCAATGCTGTATTTTATGCCATCCTCTCAGAGCTCACACAATGCAGCATTTGGAGCAGGCAGCTCAGCTCTCCAGGTCTGCAAGCATATGAGTGTATGGGAAAAACATGCCTTCCCTCCTCAGCTCCCCCAGCTATTTCCAGCCAGTATCTTGTCTGGCTTCATTAACAGCAATTAGCCTATGACCCGGTACATGGGCAAGGATGTGAAACCCTGGCTCCCAATTCCCACTGCAGCCCCCGCCTTGAGAAATGCTACGTGGCTATGAACTGGTAGCGTTCACCACCTTCTCGGACTGTTTGAAACCCAGATATGGGCTAAACACCCAGTTTTCCTTTCATTAATAGTGTTCCTCATCCCACAGGACAGAGGTGGTCACTTGCTACCTTCGAAGAAACCCTGTCACCATGGCTGTGCCTGTGTCATTTGCTTTGGGTCTGTTTGGGGCAATGGAGAAACAATAGAAGGGAAAGAAGAGGAAGGAAATGTGTCTATCAGGGTCCCTCTGCCCCCTGCCGGACAAAGCACAGCAGGACACTTGTGTGTGCAGCAGGTGCCATCTGCTCAAACAAATTAGCAGAGCTCACCAGGGGAGAGTCTTTATTTTTAGTCTAGTGTAACGACATGCACGAGCCCTCTGTTGCAAATGCTTAGCTGAATCTCCCCTGTTGCTTGGATTTATGCAAAGGGAAGACTGGGAAAATGTCTCTGAAAGGAAGCCAGCGGCGTGCAGTGGTACGGGAACACTGGCTAGACGCATGGTGGGCTCTTTACATAGGGCTATGTACAGCAAGGACTGGGAAAACGCAGCTCTGCCTGATCTTTTGCTCAGATTGAGCGATGAATGTAGTCTCTAGAGTCCTTAATTCATATGCATGGTTTCTGCTCAACCTCATCTGAGATGTGCATTTGACTCGAGGGCCGGGAATGACCCCCTGGGAGGTGAATGACAGAAAAGATGCCGTTCCAGAAAAGGGGAGAAGCTCAAGAAAGGAAGGAGACAGAAGAAAGGTGGCAAAATCTCCCCAGCAAATTGACCTTCAAGGATAATAAAGAAACCCAGGGGAGTTATTCCGAGGGATAAAATCTGTGCCTGATGAGAAATTGTGAGGAAGAGTGAAGTGATGTAAGGTCCCCTGGGAAGGAGAGGCCAGCAAGTGCCATGCATGTGTGAGCTCACAATTGGTTGTGATGGGAAGCGTGCACACAGCAGGGGTGACCGTCATACCCACTCTAAGAGTCTGTCCCTGGTTACAGTCACTGTGAAGATCCGCAGCTGACATGAAGTAACCAGGTCGTCTCTCAAGAACGAAACTTTTTGGGCTCATATACATGTGCAGGGAGGCTGCTCCGACCCGCTGTAATTACAGCGCTTCATAGCAGACTCAATTAATGGAGTCTGCTGGAGCACGGTAATTACCACGCTCCAGCAGATTGCAGCGCCACGTGTATCAGTGTCCCCCTACTGAAAAATGGCAATGGGGTGCTTTAAACTGAAGCTTGTTCGACGATGAACTTTAGTTCAAAGCACCCCGCCGCCATTTTTCAGCATGGGGATGCTGATACATGTGATGCTCTGAGCACTTTTAATTAGCGGTGCTAGTCCAAGAGGGGGACTGCCTCTTGGAGTACGTCTATAAATACCCTTTGGTTCTAGGGAAAAACACAGCATCACTTTCAGATATTTTTTTGGAGAACAGCATTTTTGAGGGAACTGGATTTGCTCCCATTATTCCTCTCCTCAGGGGTATCTGAGCATCATGCTGCATCTACTGCCAGGGAAAGGAAATTCTCCAACAGAGTCCCAAAAAGGGGTGGGGGGGGATGCTGGACTGGAAGGATTGTGCTGTCATTGCCTACTGTATCAGTCCTGGCTTAAGACATGACTGCAGATCAATCTCTGGGTAGAAGCAGTCCACACAGGTTCAGCTGAGTGGTAGACACCCTTGTCCAGATAAAGGTCTCTTGGTTGCTTTCCATCTGGCACATCTCCAAACAACCCCTTGGGGATGGTGACATGGGATCAGTAACTGGAGGGTGAGGGGTCAGATCTAGAAAGCGACATGCCTGAAGACACTTCTGCACCACGCAGCCACCCAAGGCTTCCTCAAGTGAATGCTCCAGTGCCCTCTTCAACCATGCTGTGGTACTAGGAAGAGGCTAGATGTGTTTGGTTTCAGTGCAGTGTCTCCACTCACTGAGTTATACCCAGTGGCCTGATGTGCACATGGTTCAGTGAAGGTTGCAGTGATATGCCTACAACCCATCCCCACTGTACCTCCGTGGAAGCCAATAGATGAAATAGCCCAGAAAGTAAAAGGCTGACCCAAGCCTTTCAGCCCATTGGTCTAGTATGGTTATGGCCTGCCTGCCTCGATAGCCAGCATCACACAAGGAAGAGATGATGTTAGTGTTGCATGCAACTGCCAGGTACCCATTTACAGGTAGGTCAGCTGGGGGAAGGTTTGGGATGAGGCCTGAACTACTCTGTTATATAAGGAATATAAAGAGCCATCAGGTATTTGAATCAAGTCCTTCTGGCAGGGAAGTTGGGCAGTCAGTTCTGCTATGCTCATTAAGCATTCAGGTTGTTATCATGACGTCTGTGCATGTAGGACCGAAGGAGGGAAGCTGCTCTGTTCTACAGAGCTGTCCCAACCTTTGCAGAATATGCACAAAACCATTTAAACACAGGCCTGATGTTGCAAAGAAGCGTTGCAATGTCGCAGAACCATGGTACACTGCCCCAGAGGGGACTACCCACTCCCCTGAAGCAAGATGAGAGCCCCCAGTCCTGGACCCCATTGGGATGAGATAGTACTAAAGACGAAAGCAGCTGAGGGCAAGAGGGAAAAGTTTTACCAAGGAGATGAAGCATCAGATTTACAAGCTGTACCAAGCAGTCAAGAAACTGGAGATGCCTGTAGGTTGGTTTATGGTGCCCTCTGCTGACAAAAGAGTTACATTTGCAGTGAACATTAACATTAAAACCAAAGGTTTCTTTCCTTCTGGTAAGAGCTTATCCATTTATTTATGAACATTTAAGCAGGCCATAAAGACAGCTTGGAAACATTTTGACAGGGAGCTGCCACACCACATCAGACTGCGGGTCTGCAAAGAGAAAAGCATTCTCCTTCCTAACTTCTTTTTAATGCATTTTGTTTTTCTCCTTTCCTGCTGTAAGACCAGAATGGCCACATCCACATGAGCGAGGACATTTGCTTTCCTGGAGACAAGAAACAGCGGCACACCTTGTGCTTGTGCGGCTTGTCCCCGGGGAATGCCTGTGCCATGTGCCCTCTGGCATGGGGCAGGTTACTCCGGGTCGGGTAGGGGATGCTGGGGCTAGCTCTGTGCTGGCCCTAGCAGCCTTACCTGGGATCCTGGGGGCTTCCTGGGTTTGTTTGTTTTTTCAAAGGGCTGGAGCTGGGGTGGGCAGGGCAGCCATGGGAGAGGCTGGGGGAGCCGGGGGGGGGAGGGTCAGGGGAGCTTCGAATCAATTCAGACCTTTTAATTTGTCCCCTGATTCGATTCAGATTTGGAGATTCGGCCACTGAATCAGGCCAAATCTCCTCCGAATCAAATCAGCGCCCAAAGCTTCGCGCAGCCCTAGTGCTTAGAGCAGGGGACCAAAACCCCTTTGTTTCTTGCCCAGTTCCACCTTATTGGGAGACCCAGGGCACACTCCTGGGGGACGCTCATTTTCTTGTCGTCATGCCTTACCTCGCGAGATGGTCCATCTTTGGCTTACGGAGTGGAACAAGCAGATTATATTTACCAGGCTTTTTGGGGTGGGGGAAAAAATCTCAGAAAAAAATCTGAAATCTTTTCCTTCCGTTCTAAACCTGTCCGGATGCATCAATAAAGTGATTCAAAACAGAAATATCTATCATTTCAAATCTATGGAGGAGTTACTTTTTTGGAAGAATTACTTCCCTTCCTTGTTTTTCATCCTAAGGTTCTTTGCCAGTGGGGGAAAAATAAAGGAAAATAATCTGAACTATTTTTGTTTTGAATAATGATGAAGGGAAGTGGAATACTGTCACTGGTACAAACAGTTTTTTTAAATTAAAAATGTAATATAATTATAAATTATTATGCACCAGTGCCAAATAAGACAGCTTTCTGTTGCTAAGGGTTTCTGGCATCCTGGCAATACTTATGACATATTCCTGGGAGGATTTCTGCTCAGCACAAACACCCCAATTCTCCCACATGCCATGTAATCTTAGGGCAGGCAAATATTTACATTCTGACAAACAAGCAGACCTGCTAACCTGAGTAATCTCACTGGTTTCAGGGGTGTTAAATTCACATGCTCAACCGAAATAATAAATTATTCAAATGACTCAGCTTTGGAACAAGGACATTTTCATTATCCATTGCCCCCTTTCCCCATCTCCCCTCCCTTTTTCCTCTCAGAGGTGAGCCAGGTTCATGCACAGCACTAATGCATGGTAAAAAGGACTCTGCTGTCCGAATCAATGGCATCTCTACGGCACTCTATGAATGGACATGTGTATAAGATTGGTAACTGCTAGAAACATGAGTAGGGTGTAGGGAGGGAGCCATAAGCCAGTTGCACTGTTCTTTCCCCAGAAGTGGTTGGTTTCCAGACAGCACTAGGGGAAGCTTTCTTGGTATCCTGCCTTTACCCTAAGCTAGAGAGACCAGCAAGTAGCAACAGGCAGTTCATCCTGCATGGCCCAGCAAGTCCTCAGCCCCTCTGATGAGACTGCATGCAGGCTAGCTGATGTCTGTCGGTGGAAACCTCTCCGCTAAGAACTGGGCTGATGCTCAGCAGCCACCAGGAGGGAACTGCATCCAGGCATCCCTACCTGTTCTCATCTGGCATCAAGGTGAAGGGAACCCTGCTCAGGAGCGCAGCCCCACTACAGATGGTTATGCATCAGAGGCATACCTACAGGGGAAGGTTACTGAGCAGACGCTGCTCTCACACTGCTTCGTGCAGGTTACATCCTAAATCAGAAGGAGCATTAGGCCATTAGCATGTTCATATGGCACCAAAAGCCATCTCTCTGGCTGGCAGGCAGGCTAACTAGCATTAGTGCTCATGAGCCTTTCTGAAGACCCTTGCAGAGGCAGCTCCAGACACTGCACTCCTTGTTTAGGAAGCAACCTCTGCAGGGCATTGCAGTGTTTGGCGAAGTCACTGCCTGGCACAGGATGTTTGCTGGGTACACATGTCCTGTTGGACCCAGGGACTGGGTGGTGTTTTAGAAGCGGATGTCAGCAGATAACAATGCAGTGTTAATACTCGTCAGCAGCAACTCAACTGTAATTCTCCTTACTTGTGTCGATGAAGACAGCATCCACGTAGATTTTGGTACAGAAGGAGCCCAAGATAAATCCACAGGCTGGTCCGAATACCAGCATCGTAAACAAGATCCCTGTAAGGAGACAGAAGAGACAAGAGGGGAATTAAATGTGAGGCGCACTGCATTTAGTGCACATGGACATCAATGGTAACAATGTGGACTGGCTTTTTTACTTGGGACAAGGTATGTTATGGAGCACTGCAATGTCATCATGGCTCGGGCTGAGATATTATGGAAGGACTTTTACCCTCCAGGGCATAGGCGACTGTTAGGGGGTGCACGGGGGTGCACGTGTCTCCCCGATGGGGCTGGTGCCCCCCTGATGGCCGACACTGATGCTGTCAGTAGGGCTGATGCCCCCCCAACAGGGTCAGTGGCTTCTGTGGGTGCCCCCCCAGATTCAGGAGGCACCAGCCACTCATGCTCCAGGGGTGCGGTTTGAGAGTGCACCGAGTTGGTTACTAAACAAATTTACCCAAGGCTAGGCTGGCTGGGTCACTCCCAAGGGTTTGGTGATTCAAACACAGGTCATGAGAGGCACAACTCCTCACCGGAGGCAGATTTGCCCAGGGAACTCTTCACCTATGCCCAGCCAGGCTACGATTCTGCCCCATACCAGAGGACTTGAGAGCTTTCGGCACTGGACCCAGCCCTTCCCTGAAATCCTGCTCTGCTACAATGTGCTGTGGACAGATCCCTGCAGAACTGCAGAAACCCTCCCTCAAAGTTGCAAACCCCCTCTCCATAAAACGCTCACAACACACCGAATCCGTGAGGCCACTCATTTATGGCCCCTTGTCTCATCTACTGAGATGCCTGAAGAGCACTGCCAGTTGATGATGGCTAGGCAAGTAGATGAGTGGAGACCACTGCTACTGAGCTATTCATATCTCCTTTAAGAAAACAGCTAGAAATATTTATTTGCACAATCGTTTGGGACTAGAAATAGGAATTTTGCATAAATATCACACATCTCAAGTGCTGAAAAAGTAGATGCCCCTGAAACCCATCACTTCCTTCCTAAAAGCCACCATCTTCCTTCACACCTAGAAGTGCTCCAGCATCCTAGTGTTCAAATGGGACTGGGGAGCTTGCCTCAGGGAGACAAAATGAACCCTAATTGTGGCCTAGTGAGGCTGGTTTTATCATGTTAGTGAGGCTGGGATGCTTCCCCCAGGTTGAGCTCTGCATATCAAACTTACACCACAGTTTAGCAAACATCTCTTGCTCCTCTGTAAAATCATCTGCATGTGCTCCCTGTGGTCACCTTGACATACTGAAGATTTGTAACGCACCTCAGCATGTAACCGCGGCCTTTCAGCCTTTTCGTCTAAACCCATCATTTAATGGACCTGCATTTTCTCAGAGTGTGGTTCAGCAATCAGAGAATCCATCAGAGGAGGTAAAAAAAATAAATAAATAAAAGCAGTGGTCCTTTAATACCCTGACAGAAGAGGATTTGACTGGAGGAAAACCACATTCCCTGGAGAAAGCCTCAGCAGGCAGAGTATGTCTGGTCAGAAATAACTTCTTCCTAATAGTTACCACTGGGGTGGTACGTTAATTCCTTCCAGCATGCGGTTTGGCTTTAGCAATGGCTGATGGCACTGCGTGCAACTCAACAGTTATTCCATCCTGCCTCATGCAGGCAAACACAGCTTGCTAACACCACAGCAGAAATCAATAGCAGCAGAGAGAGAGAGAAAAAGGGAGAGGCAGGGGAAGTTTCAGAGGACACTTCATAAGTGATGGGAAAGAAAGAGTGGCTTGTGGCTACAGCCCAGGGAGTTAAGAGATCTAGGCTCAGGGCCCTTTTCTATCAGAAACTTCCTATGTGACCTAGAGCAAGTCAGTTGGGCTTGTCTGTGCTGGATCTGGCACATGTGGCTGCAACACGGGCACGAATCCCCAACTAGGACAGGTACCAAAAGCAGGGTGGATCTGGTGGCATGCATGTCCCCTGAGTCCTGGGGTCCTGTCAGGCCTGTCTGGGGGCATGGGTGTCCTCTGATTGAGCCCCGGGGTCCTGTCAGGCCTGTGCTGAAGCCTGCCCATCACCTCTGTACTGCAGGTGATCCTAGTGAATTCGACATAAGCAAGTAGTTAGGTCAATCTCAATGCAGATGTACTCGAGAAGGGGGTTTTCAAAAGCTTGTTCTGCTCCGAAATCCAGTGGAAGATCCATGGGGCTGGTGGGAGGACACATGCAACAGGGAGCACGAGGGGCCCAGGCACTGTGCAGACGGGAGGGAATCTATGTCATGGAGCCAAAAAGGCAGGAAAGAAAATTACACTGAGTGGGAGATGTGGAAGAAAAAGGCAACTTGCTATTAGTGCAAAAATGCCTGAAGGGAAGCTGGCATCATGGGAGAAATGGGGGGGAAGCTTCTCTGGAGTTACTGGGGAGCCAGTGGGGTTGTTTGTAGATGGCAGTGACACTGGCGGGGGGTGAAGGTAGAGGAGGAAAGAGTCACTCATGTCACAGTAGGAGGAGAGGGGTGAGGACAGCTGGAGCAATCGGCTTGGATCCATGTGAAGAGTTGTGCTAGCATAGTGCCATTAATGAGGCACACTCGTGGTACTCAACATGTGGACCAGAGCTGGCCTGCAAGGCCATGTCATCCAGTCCACAGGTATGTAAATTTGGCAGAGGGGGAGCACTGGCAGAGCTAATGGCTGGTCCCCTTCTGCCAAATACCTGGACTCAAGGGATCCCTGTGGGCCGGATGACGTGGCCCTGTGCACTAAATCGTGGCAGCACACGGTGAGGCCAGTGAGTGGGGTCACTCTGTAGCCAGGTCTGCTGCATGCAGTCAGGCCGGATCCAACTCACAGGGTCCATGGCCATGCATGAAATTGGGCTGGTGCACCAGACTACACCCTGGTACCAACCCCACGGTTGGGATCTGGCGCATGGACCAGCCCTCCCATGGCACTGGGAGGCTGAGCACCGCTGAGCTAGACAATTCTTAGACAAAAACTGTCCTCGACATTACTGCTTGTCCTAGGGGCTCTGATGGCCACATGGCCTTTATGCCCTCTGAGAGCCCAAGGTATGAATACACAACATGAGAAAAAAAACACGCAAGATGAGCAGGACTGAGCACGAACAAAATAGTGAGAGAACCTGACTCAGAGTGAAGCTAAATCCCATTGATATCCTGAAGCAGCGCGTGGGCCACAGACTGCCAGGCATGGCCCTATGCTGCCTCCCAGTACATTTCAGACTCTGGTGTCTGGGACTGCAAATGTGCAGGAGAATCTCACTAGCAGGCACTTTGCTAACTGAGGAATACACCCCACGAGCTGGCAGGAAGCTCCTCACCTCAGTGCTAGAGTGAGGCTTCCCATGGCTGACTTTGGTCTCTATGTGCCTTAGCGGTGTACCACGCACATGCTAGACAGCATCAGCACCCATTCAAACTAAACTGCAAGGCCCCAAAGGGAACGAACAGAAGGAGTGAGTTTTGCAACGGTGCCCAGATTTCAGCAGTGCATGCGAGCACAGCGCTTCATCACTGGACAAGGCCCAGTGGCCTCACAGTCAGCAGCAGCAAAGAGCACATGCATGCATCGACCCACGTAGTGTTGAACGGTAATAACTTATAGATATGCTGCTCTAGGAGAGTGACAACAGCTGTGCTAGACAACAGCAGTGTAGGCAAACTCAGATAACACGAGTCCTCTTTACATCACACCCCACCTATTATCACACATTTCATTTCAATTTCTGAATACTATACTATAGCAGCGTCAAACATGCAATGGCACTCAATGTTGTGGGGCAAGAAATGGGTGGTGGCAGTGTGAAATGGTCTGTACACCCAGCGGCAGGGAATATGGCCTACCCAAGGAACTCAGTTTGACACCCCTACCATACATCAGAGTGCAAAAACCCTTACCTCCATGTATTGTGACTCTGGATATTGTCAAAAACTGAAGCAATCTTCATTGGGTATCCCACACTGTTCATTGCTATCCAACAATGTTCCAAAGAGGAGTTGGATAGCAGACAATTCCTGTCAAAGGAATTTGCCTTGTTGAAGAAATACATGTCAACACCATGCCATTCTCTGCTGCTTGCTTTAAATCCTAAAACAGGCTGGTCAAGGGCTTGCCCAGGACCTGGGAGTGTGGGGTACCAGCAGGGCCTAAGCACAGCTTGTCCACAGATTTAGTGTCTCATGTGTGATTTCCTCACGGTCAAACTCCATAAATGCACAAGTAGTTACACAGTATGGTGACTTATAGAGCTTGTTCATGACACTCTTGGAAAAAAAAAGACAAAAAATGAATGAAAGGATCAGAATGGGCCAGGCTCAAAGGTTACATTGCACTCGAGCAGCATAGCCCTTGAAGGAATGGGCACTTGGGCTGAGGAAGGAATGAACTTTGCCTCTCGGAGTATTTCAATACAGGCATGAGTCCTCACTACTGCTGTGCCAGATGCTTTGAATGCATGAACCTGAACCGCAGCTTGGTTTAGAGGACTGTAATGGCAGAGCGTGGGTTAGAAGGAAAGAGCTCAGGAGAAGGAAAGACAGTTCAGCATATGAAGGAGAAGGGGCAACTTGCAAAGAATAGAGAGACAATGGGCCTCCAAGAGCTGACCGAAGGTGCTGCGAGGTTTGTGGCTGTTCTGTGTAAGGGCTGAGGACTCAGGTGTCCTTTAAAAGCAAAAAGATAAATGTGTTCAAAAAGATCTGACATTATGTGTGTGTACCTCCACAAGTGTGAGAGGGGGAATATGTACAACCTTTTCCCATCAGTACCTAATATATGATAGATGTACCCCTTTTTCACTGAAGTATTTGTCCTACTGCCCTTCAGAAACAAAACCAAGCCAAGATATTAAAAACTTCCAAGTAGTCTGCGTTAGAGACAGACGCCTGGAAGATCCTCTTGACTCTAAAATTCCCCGCTAGAGGGAGCTCGGGAATAGGATAAAGTGTTTGCTAAAAGGACTGGGTACTACAGTATTTTACAAGACAGTAAATTATCTTTTCACTCCCCAGTTATCAGCATAAAACAAAGCAAACACATTCATTTAGATAAATTGTGGTTTCACTTCC